CAGCTCACCTCAACCTCCGCCTCCTAGGTTCAAGCAATTCTCCTGCCTCAGCCTCCCAAGTAGCTGGGACTACAGGTGTGTGCCACCACGCCCAGCTAATTTTTGTATTTTTAGTAGAGACAGGGTTTTACCATGTTGACCAGAATGGTGTCAATCTCATGACCTCATAATCCACCCTCCTTGGCCTCCCAAAGTGCTGGGATCATAGGCGTGAGCCACCACGCCCTGCCAAACATTTCTGTTATTATAACAAACCCATGAGGAGATAATACTCAATAAATTAATGTTTGTTTTATACTGCAAGTCTTTTTTTAAATAAATATATCTTTTACCATTTATAAATATAAAATAGGAAGAGGGCAGGAGTTTCCGAAAAAGAAATGAACAATTTGTCACATAATGCCTCCAGGTAAACAATTATCATATATTTTCATATAAATGCTTTCAAGCGTGATAACCAAATGTATTTAAAATTTTGTTATGAAAGTATATATATATATGTACCCTACTATAGGTATAAATTAAATTAGTTCATAGTTTTAGTAAATATTGTTATTTATTTATTTAATTGGAGACAGAGTCTTGCTCTGTTCCCCAGGCTGGAGTACAATGGCACGATCTTGGCTCACTGCAACCTCCACCTCCCAGGCTCAAGCAATTCTCAGGCCTCAACCTCCCAAGCAGCTGGGATTACAGGCATGAGCCACCATGCCTGGCTAATTTTTGTTTTTTCAGTAGACACAGGGTTTCACAATGTTGGCCAGGCTTGTCTCAAACTCCTTACCTCAAGTGGTCCACCGCCTTGGCGTCCCAAAGTGCTGGGATTACAAGTGTGAGCCACAGCGCCAAACCGTATTTTGATTTTCAAATGATTTGTTTATAAAGGTGATGTAACATCAGATAGAAATTTTGAAAGAGAGGCAAAATATTCACCCAGATCTCTTCTGCTCCAGTGTACTCACTCCTAACATCTTATTATATGTCCCTGGTCTTTCCCCTATTTAAATGACTTTTTTAAAAGTTTTAGTTGTAGCATTCAAATAATTTAACATCCTTAGTTTTTTCACCTAACACTGCAAGCATTTCTCGTATTACTAAACAGTTTTCTAAACATTTACTTCATTAAACATCAACTGTGTAACACTTGCTTAAATATTCCTTCACTCTTGGATGCCAAGGCTTACTTGGTTTGTTCTGGGATTTTTTTAAAAATTGTGTATTATAAATAATGTGTTGATGATATTCATCTTGAATATATTTTTACCATATTTTATACCTTGAAAGCATATATATCTAAAGGTAGAATGACTGGATATGCAAGTTGTTAGTATTTAGCACATACTGCCAATTTGCTTTCTGAAAGGAATGAATCAATCTATAATTCCACCAAGAAAGTTTGAGGACCTGTTTCAGTATGAGCATTTGTTGACATTTTAAGTATTTTTTAAATATTAATTTAATAATTTAAAATATTTTTTCTTATATTTTATGTTTTTTTGTTTGCTTGTATACTGAATATAAATTCATATATTTTTGTGTTTGTAATGCCCCCTTTTAAAATATTCTGTTCATACCCTTTGCCTATTACTGTGGGTCACATTGGGGCACATTTTTATTATCAAATTGTATGAGCTCTATATTCAGATTATTAACTCCACTTCTGGCACATTTTCTCCACATTTTTCCTGTTTGCCCTTTCTTCCTTTTTATTTGAGTGGTAGGTTTCTCTTTTTTTTTTTTTTTTTTTAATTGGTTTAATTGGTTTGCATATGTATTTTTTTGTTTGTTTGACCAAATATGTTACTCTCTTTCTTTGTGGACAAATACACAAGCACATATATCATATGAACACATATTTTTATATATTTACTTATCTTTACATATCTTCATAAATATGGTGCTTCTAAGTTTAAAAAGTCATCTATTACCCAGAAGTTTTATTAAAAGTTCAATTTTCTTTTTTTCTTTTAACTATTTGATTTTTTAATATTTTAACTCTTTAATCCAACCATAATTTATTTTAGGTTATTATGCATTGGGTACCTGAACTAATATTTTTTCCGAATTGAAATCATCTAACCCAATTGTGTTTATGAAATGATTTTCCCCTTATCAATTGATTTGTAATTTCTCTCTAAATTATATCTTAAATTATAATACTAAATGTTATTTAGTAATATTTATCTCTTTTCTTGCTGCTAATTTTTAAAGAAAATTCCATACTTATACTGATGAGTTTTAAATGATTACACCTTTGTAAAATTTGCTAATCAAAGCGAGGTTTGATTATCTATTAATTCATTATTTTAATTAGTATCCTAAATGAAACAAAATTTTATTTTATTTACGTATAAACATTACTTCTCTCTTAGTGAGTTCTTACCTTTTTCTCAAATGGTTAGACCAATTTAATACATGGTATAGTATTATGAAGAGATTTGACTTGTGCTTAGAAATCAAAATTTTTATTTTTAATTGTATTTTGGCATATAATAAGGATGAACATTTAAAGTTTTTTTCCTCATGATCAAGGTACTTTATTTACAAGGATTATTTTTATAGTAAGATAAAAATATACAAACATCTAGAATTTATTTATAGAATACTTTTATGAAAACATAACACCACCACATTAAGATCAACTTTACTTAGCCATTTTTATTTTAATCTCGTTGTTTCTTTTTTTGTTTTTTTGAGATGGAGTCTCGCCCTTGTTGCCCAGGATGGAGTGCAATGGTGCAATCTCGTCCCCAGGCTTAAGTGTTTCTCCTGCATCAGGTCTCCCGAGTTGCTGGGATTATAGGTGCCCACCACCATGCCCGGCTAATTTTTGTATTTTTAGTAGAGGTGGTGTTTCACAATGTTGGCCAGGCTGGTCGCAAACTCCTGACCTCAGGTGATCCTCCCGCCTCGGCCTCCCAAACTGCTGGGATTATAGGCGTGAGCCATTGCTTCTTTGCTTCTTAATGCAAAGTAATTTTCAGTCACTTATGAAACACCATTTTTTATCTTAACAGTGTGTTTTCTACTTAATGTAAATTCTTAGCCTACAGGAAATATTTGCTAATTTTGAAATGTCTTCTTTAGTTATCTTAGTTATCACAAAAAATAAATCTAGACTTAGTTATTAAAATCTGATTCATAATAGTTTGAAGATTAAATATAAAGCAAGAAGGCAATCTAAATTTTGTTGGAGGTATTAGAGTATTTGTTCAATGTCATGCAAAAATTCATTTTAGACTTTTATAGCACAGATTAGATACTAAAGTCTGAGTTAAGCAAAAAAATTTCTGAGTCAAAAATTGAAAGTAAGATGCAGGCTACAAATAACAAACACAGGATTATACATTATAAAAACAAACAGTTAATAAACACTGCCATATACATACACTAAATTATAATTTATTTTATTCTAGGGTTAACATATTCATTATTTCTAGATTACAAGAAGTCACTTTTCTGTTTTCGAAAGAAATACCAAATGTGAATAGTCATTTCTGGATTCTGATATGTCGTCTCTATACAAAGTGCCTTTGTCCAGTGCTCTTTGTTTGTGGTGTTAGCACAGTAATAACACCAACATGTTCTGACATTTATCACATGGTCAGTCTCCTTTGTAGTTACTGTAAATACATTGTCTCATCCAAACTTCAGATGTGATCCTAAGATTCTCCTGTCAGTGTACCATTCAGATGTTCATTATTAAGTGATTTCATAAAACTTTAAGGTGTTACACAATAATTTTAACAGGCTTGGTAGTGTGTAGGTTACATTTGTTGTCTCAATTCTCAAAATAAAGTTGTAAACAAGGGGTGATTACTCCCATTTCAAGATTCAGAACCAGTTCCAGAGAGTTTAAGTCATGACCAAAAAAGCAAGCAGCAAAAAGTGAATTTTATTTATTCATAACTTATTATGAATTTGGAGTTAGAGGGATTTACTTGTCATGGCATTTCCCTTTAGATATTTTATTCTCTTAAATCCTGCAATAGAATGCTTTGGTCAAGAATTTATTGATTCAAAGAAAATGACTAATTTTCCCCTGTTCACATAAGATCAACATAAAAGTCATTTCTGTGGTCTCTTTTATCTGTGGCTACATAACTTGCAGTCACTGAAATAAAAATGTGAAGTAGTAATGTTGTATCTTATAGATATCCCACAATTCCTTAGTACTTCCTACATCACTACAAAGGCACATGCAGAGGCTGAATAGTGCCCATTCAGGATAAAATAGTTTCCCCTTAACTACTGATAAACCATTTTTAACTCTCCAGATTGCATGAAATCACTAAATCTGGAGCAGGGGTTATCATTGGCACTATTTTTGTGGTATGCCAAACTCTAGACCTTAGTTGTTAGAAGCATGGTTGTTTGATGGCCCGTACTTTCTAGGCTATTAACTGCCTTGTATCCAATGCCGTATTTTTATGACAAATAATGTTAGTACTTGTTTACTCTCCTGAGGTTAAATATATATAATGTGACTACCTGTGATATTTTATTTTAAAATTCAGTATGTTGTCTTAGTTATAAAATAGAAATAAGCGAAAACATTATATGAAATAATGTGTATTTTAACATGTAAATACTCAGGAACTATGACATTTTATGGTATCGAAAATGAAGAAGTAATGAAGCAGTCAAATTTGTGCCTGTGTTTAGATTTAACAAACCTTGAAGTAAAA